CATGTCCAAAAAAACAAAGTATTGCTGCAGTAAATATGTTTTATCAGGTGTTCTTTGTATCCATGCTTGAACGGTGCAAGTTTAAAGTAATGGGAAAAGCATTGTCAAGAATAAGTCTTTGAAACTGTATTTGGGGAATAACCTCCTTGCATGTTTACATTACTGCTCTTCCCCCCGCCTAATTTATTGCATCCACATTGCATTGAGAAAAGAAGTCCAAATCTGAGACAAAAAATATCTGTTGCCTTCTTCCCCTCTTCTTCCCCTCCATGTTTCCTCTGTTATTTATTTCCAGCATCACACATCTCTTCTTCCAGTAAGGATGCATCTTTGTGTTTTATGGCTGCGTGTGTCACCGAAAGGGTCTTCATTCAGGAAGTGAACTAAGAAGAAAGGACTTCTTGTTTTATGCTAAATCATACTCTAAAAGTAGAACGCTGTTATGATGATGACCACATTGTGGTGAACAGTGTTTTTTTGGAACAGCGCTCCTCCAAAGCGGTTGCGCAAGACTGGTGAAACGAAACGCAATCTTCTGCATCTTGAAAATGTTCGCCTCTGACAACATAAACTGACAAGCATCTCATCAGACGTGAGAATGAACTCCAAGGACTTGTTTGCAAATTTTGCCTTCCGAGCATATTGTCCGCACCTGGGGACGAGCGCAGGAAGTGATGCGTAGCTCCCGGGGGAGTTGAAGGATATCAGCGTTGACTCGGTGACATGAGGATGGGCCCTTATTCACAATCAGAGGTCAGAAGCGAGCAGTTTGAGGACAGGTCTGAGCCCGCTAATGAAAAGCACATGTGCTTCACAAGACTCTCTGGATCTTCCCAGCTCATCTGCCTGGCCCACACCCTTCATTCTCTCTGTGTTCAGCCCTCGCTCCCTTTCAAGTCTGAAACAAACTGGCTCCTCTCACTGAGACAACATAGAAAAGCATGTGGAAAGCAAAACCTGACATACTTTCTTAGGGTTGTGCTGCTCTGGTTTCTGTACAGATTAAAACAAAGTCTGCTTTTGAGATCAGGTGACTAAATAAAATGCAGCTGCCTGTTTAGCCATTGCAGAATTAATCCAATAAATTCAATGTGAAAAGTCTTGTGAGCCAAATCTTTCCTCGTCACCTCCAATCTATCATGATGTTTATGGGATCGATCTCACGCACACGTGTAACGAAGAAAAGTGTCCACGGTCTCACGACATGCAAGCTAAACGTTTGTGACAAGAAGTTGCCCAACATTTGTGCAAAATAAGGCTTTTTGTGCGGCGTTGGCAGCGACACAGAATCCACCTTTGCTTCAGGTGCCGGGACTAGCGGATGGTTTCCAAAAGTCCTCCCCAAATTCAACAGCTCATCACAGCAATGATGACAGGCCTCACAATTAGCTCTGTTTTACAAGGGCTCGCTTGAGACAAGCTCGTAACTCACATCGCTCGTCTCAGCCATCACCTTGCTTTAATTAAACACCAGGTATCTTTTCGCAGTCGAGGTGTTCATAGGGGTGGCCGGCTTAGATATTTTTCAATGCTGTCTGCGATGGTTTATAAAGGGATCCCAAAATGTATTGTGTACAAGGAGACTTGGGTACAGCTATAAACCATGGTGTTGTGCTATCAGGCATTTGAATCATATACACATACTTTGACTTTTGATAGCAAATACTATGACATTATAAAATGGTTATGACTTCTTACAGTAGAGCAGATGGCTAGGGGAAGCAAACGGTTTTTCATAAATTTTATAATCTATGCTATAAAGTATAGTTTTACTGAAATAAATAGGTCATTATATCAGAGCTATAAGTAAAAAAAAAAAAACACAAATATACAGTTGTGAGCCATAAAAAAGAAAGAAAATAATAATAAGAATATGATTAATGAATAAGAAGTAAAAACATTAACAGCTGTAGCCAAAGTGGCTTTCAGTGTATTTAAGGAAAACATTTTATCAGTGGCACTTACCACAAATAGATGTCTAAATGCTCAAATAAAAAGTAATAAATATATTTAGCATTAATAAATATACTATGCTGATAGTCCACCAGAATAAAGTAAATATTACAGGATCTTAAAAAATGTTTAAAATATTTTAAACATTTATTTGTATAGTATTTAGAACACATTTGAAGCAACCAGAATTGGTTCTTCATTCTCAACTTCATTCTCCAAACTGCTCACGCTAATTAGAGGTGCAGGGTTTGATGTATGTGTCTCTTTAAATGTACATTAACATTCATGTTGTCATCTTAGAGGGCCAAAGACGTGTATAGGACATTTGAAAAACATGCATGTAATGTTCTGAAGCTGGCAACCAGTAACTTCTCAGTGGTTAGTTTGTGAAGGGTTGGATAGGAGACCTGGGAATGCTTATTCTTAGTTAATGAACAGTTTTGAGTTAGACCTTAAGAATTTTACACTTGATAGAATTTGATTGTACTTAAAATGGGTTTAAGATTGGGGACCATCACAAAGAGTTTAGTATGCAGTCTCTTTATTCTGGGAGCTTCTCTTTTTTATACAATTAAGGGATAGATGGACCTAACAACCAATCAAAGCCACCAGCTGTGGTTTCTATGGCAACCCTCGGACCAATGGCATGAGCTCAATCTTTTTTAAAGCGCACTTCTTTGGAGGAGGGCTACAAATAACAACAATGATTGACTGCTTTATTATTTATACTACTATAATCGTGTTGTTGTCTCTTTGGGTATAGTGTTATGGCGTGTAAATTTAGAGAGCATGGGATTTGTCTACTGTCATTGTGGTTTGTTTGTTGGTGGTCAAGATCACTGCATACCAGAAACAAAATCCAGTCGCATGATGTCATAAACAGACTGTGTTAATCAAATAAATAACCAATCCTATCACTTCATGCAAACCCTCAGAACCCAAGACATTGCTCGAGTCATGCTCTACATTATAATGTTCTATAATAATGACCAAACTAATTTGTCATTATTTTGCGTGGAATGATCTACACACATTTATTTTGACTGTTACTGTTGCAATGCACAGTTGCGTTGTTCATATGGATGTGATTTGCAGTGTGTAATTTTCTCAGATTCACCTGTGGATGGAGGCACAAGCTGACCGATCGAATATCAATAAATCTATTCTAATACTGCAGTCATAACTATAGTTTCGAGTTGCCTGGCTGCATGTGTCTGTCTACTTACGATGGATTTTTAACATTCTAAAACAAAGTTACCATGATCCAGTTTTGTTTTTGTTTTTTTAGTTTGGGAACATGCAAAATCTGAGCACTGGAATTGTAGCCATAGTAACATGCGTAAGAGTACTACACTCTCGTGCTTAGATCGAAGTGTCATCCGTTTAAATATAGGATCATGACTGAATAAATGAACACATGAGGAGCAGGGAGTGTATGCAGCTGGGTGGTCAATGAATGAACGGCTGATAGAATTCTGTGCAAATCTGCATGTCTTTCTGCAGAGCTCTGCTGGCACAGATTTGCACGGCCTGAATGAAATACAGGAACACACAGCCACGAGCCATTCTGAATTTGGCCAACTGAACTGCAGGGACCGAGCCTATTCAGACACTACCTTACAGACAATCTAATCTCAAATACGTTTATTCGTCTAATCTGCAGACTGTGTTCATGCTAGGTCGTGTGTTGCGCATCAGCTAGATGCGAGGCCTGGGGTCTGAACGTGTCTGCTTCCCTCAGAACTGCTAAGCATTTTTACCTCAAAGATGAAAAGCGAAAGATTAGACAATTATCTCCTGCTTCGCTCCAACAATCGCAGCCAAAGACAACTTCCACTGCAAAATCTGATATCGGGGAGTTTATAAGCTCTTTCAGAGTGAAAAGGTCTTTCTCAGAGGAGCCAGTGAGCTACTCCAAAGTTTATCGAGCCTGGCTACATTTGTTTAATTCCTTATCTCTCCAAACATGTCGCTGGAATCAGCACTGCTTTAGGAAATTCAATTATACCCGAACGGTGCTAATGCACCAATAGTGCTCGGTTTGACAGAGAAAGCAACAATATTTATATTATGGTATCAGAATGAGTCCAGTTGCACTTGGTAGGCGCCAAGATGTCCACTTATTGTATTGCGCATGTTCCAATAACACATTCAGCGCTGCTGCCCCATTGTTTGAGTAGCGCTGATGTAAGTTTACACTCATTAAATCAGCTCGTGGACAAGGGTGCTGGGATGAAAACGATCAGGTCACCCACTCATTTCACCAAAAAAGGATATTCCATGGCAAAACCTGGTGATCCGGTGGATGTAAAACTGGAAATCAGAGAACTGTGGCAATATTCTCATTTATTTCACACCAGATATTGTAGTATGCTTATACTGATGAACTCTGGGAAATGGGACTAATGCTCTTTTGAGATTTATTATTTGAATCATTTGAATCATTGCCAAACTTCTCAGTGGGCTTACCTGGTTCATGCTTTTTGGTAATAGTTTGTTTGAGTGAATTTTTTCCAGTGCCAATTCATCTGTATAATTTTTGGTAATACTGATAGCATTTGTTTGGTTTTGTTTTCAAAATAAATGAACACATTTTTTTAATCAAGGTATTGTTACAAAAGATTTCTATTTCAAATAAATGTTGTTCTTTTGAACTTTCTATTCATCTGTGAATTCTGAAAAATAAAATGTGTCACGGTTTCCATAAAAACATTCAGCAGCACAACTGTTAATAATCAATGAAAATAAATGTTTCTTGAGCAGCACATCAGCATATTAGAATGATTTCTGAAGATCATGTGACACTGAAGACTGGAGTAATGATGCTGAAAATTCAGCTTTGATCACAGGAATCAATTGCATATCAACATTCACATAGACACCCCCTTTTTTGAAGGTTAGTGATACACATTTCATGACATTACACTGGCATGCTACATTTTATATTTGTAATTGCTGTGAAAAGGGACATCTTTTCATTGCTTTGCTAATTAAGTAAATGCATGCAAATGAATGTACTTGTATGGATGACCTTGAAGGGCTCTTACCAGCTCCATAACCTCCAGCCCCTAAAGCTCCTGTCTGAGTCCCAGCAGCACCTCCATATCCTCCTGCTGAACAAGAGATCGCTTCATTAGCATCCGTCTCACGCTTATAACATGCTTTATCTGAGTCCACTCGAGCAGCACACATTACACATTACATGCTTTCAACTTCCTCACAGCATTTGCACATGGCGAGATGTGACTTCGCCGACTGCCACACAAATGGACTTTGACTTTTATGGCAGTTTTATAAGTAATGACAGCTCACTCTTACTGACACAGCCTGCCAGCAAACACATGTAACTTAACTGTAGCTCCCAAGTTTGAGAAAGGATAACAAGACATTGAACATTTGCACCATTTGTAGTGTTAAATTTATGAGTGACAACAATCAACCCCCCCCCAAAAAAAACCAAACCAAAAAAAAACTAAGCGATTTAACAGTTCATTGTTGACTCTTGCCTTAATATACTGTAGGTATATCCATGTGGGTTTACAGTGAATTTTAATTTAAAGGACAGAATTTAGAAAAACAATATTCTAATTTAAGGAGGTTTGGAACAAGGTGCTTCTACTGCAGCCAAACACATTCATGAATCTGGCTGATTGATCGTTGGGCTGTTTGGATGGTTGGCTGGTTGATTGAATGAATGAATAGGTGAGTAAAGGAGCAGATGATAAAATGAGTCAATGAGGTCTGAAGGATGGGAAACAATACATTATTCTGGTCTCAGTGGTCTCAAATCACTTCTAGAGTGTTTATGGTCAAAGCAAAATGATCTTACCTGCTGCTTTTGCTGCTTTGTATTGGGACGTCCCAGCACCTGTTAAAACCAGTACGAGTTAGAGCCCTGTCAGTGCAGATGAGTTCACATCTTGTCAAGTGTAAGATGAAGATGGTTCAGCTTTACTCTCAGACACCACAAAGAGTGTGAAATGCATCTAGTCTTTGGAAGACTTTCAAGAGTTTTATTTGAGACTAGCAAGTAAACAAGATATTCTTCACTTTCAAGTGTGCATAACGTGAGTAGCATCAGATTGTTGTATGTGAAATCCATTCCGAGCTCTGACTGAAATCAACTGTCATGGCCAGTGTCATTTCTTCATTTGGTATAAATGAAAGCGGTGAGTGGATATTGGCTGTAGTTGGTTATACCTGGGTAAAATCCAGCACCTGGTAACAATCCAGCACCTCCTGGTCCTGCTCCAGCTGAACCCGGTGGCACATACACCCCTGAAACAGAAAAACATGCGTCGTCAGGATCTGTCGTTCATGTTTCCCAACCCCAACCCTAACAGACACGCAAGGAGAAGAATTCAGACAAAAGCCGCGTCTCTGAGGAAATCTGATTCTGAAGGCCTTGAAAGGCATTTCTCTGGACATCTAGCTGATGTCAGTCACTGCTCACAAGTTCGGGAATCGCACACGGCCTTCAAGTGAAGTCTTTGAAATGAACTCATTTTCATTTCACATTTTTTTCCTCAATTGTTTTCTTCCCTGACAAAACAGGATGCTTTAAAGCGCTAATACAACAGAATGGGTTGGCGTTATGTGTGAAACTGATGCTTTGTCATCCTTGTGCTGCTACAGAGGATGATAGTGGATGTAGTTGTAGCACAAGCCTTATAACCCAGCTAAATGAGTGGTATTTTACATTCATGCATTAAGCAGATGCATTTATCCAAAGCCACTTACAAAAGAGGAACGAAGCAATACGCCAAAGAGCCAACAATATCTGTATGCAATGTCAGGATCATTAGACAATTAGATTAGAAAGCAAGCTAGAGAAGAGGAGAAATGCTGAGAGAAAAATCGAGTGCATGCATGTAAGCTGGTTAACTGCTTGTGGAAAGTGCTTTTTCCTGAAAGCTTTGTCCTTATTTTTCATCGGCAGTATACTAAATGTGTACACACTAAATGCTATGCACATTCAACTTAATCACAAACTTATTTTGATTGTGAAACAAATTTGTTAACCTGAACTAATCAAGTGCTTCGTAAATGAGAAATCACAAACCCCTAGAGGTTCATGATGGAACTGCATCCCTGTCAAAAACAAATACAGACTTTACCTGCAAATACATGAAAGAGTTTGTATTTATTGTTCACTATATTTATTGAAATATTAATAATAAAAGAAAGCAATTTTGTGATGTCATGACTGTTTGTTTGTTTGTTTGTTTTGGAAAAGCACTACAGTATTTCCATGTATTCTTTGACATAAGGAAAGGTTAGTCTCATGTAGTGGGCTACAGTGCATGGGCTCGGGAAAGGCTCACGATGGGTGGGCCAGTGGGTCCAATGCTTTACGACTGCTAACAGCCTCCCAGGAGGTCTTGTTAGCCCAGGCATCAATTATGAAGTTACATTTCCAAGCCAGACCCGGTTTGCATCACAAAATTGTGATGGAGAATGTGAACAGACCCTCCAATGACAAAGATTTTTAATAGCTTTTGCATGTTCCTCGAAGGCCATTTAACCAAATCCATATGTCCCAGCTTCTTTGGTGTTTATTAGCAGCAATGCAGTAAGCATGGTATTTTATTATGCAGTTGCACGAATACCCTGTCATTATTCGGTAAAGGATTATACATGCTCTATTTTCATTATTATTATTATTTTGGGGCCTGCAAAAAAAAAAAATGCCACTCAAGGCCAGTGTTGTCATGTGAAAGAGAAAGCCACACATGGGAAGAATCACTCACAGTCGGCAGATCAGAGATTAAAACTACAAGAGCAAGCTGTGAACTGCCCTGGCATTGACTTGCAGATGAGGCAGTGCAGAAATGGAACAAATATCTTTAATAAGCTAGTGGAAAGTTTACATATACTGTCATCTTGCCAAAACCTTCACACGCTTTGCAAGGACAGAACATTATCTCACAGATTCAAAACATGATTAGGGGTGACACAAATGTTTAGTCTGAGGCAGGCTACACTTTTGCTGTTGGGAAAAAAAAAAAAATTCAGCTTACAGGCTGGGTTTTCATTTACTTTCAAATTGGTGCAAGTTTTCTGAAAGAGGCTTGCAGGAAATTGTGTCTTTATGACTTACTGCTGATATCAGTAACAGTAAACTGTACTTTATCACATTATTTCGAAGACTTCACTTCACTGTTTATAGTGTGTAATGCAGTAGAACATCAGTCAATTTGGCATCTGCAATCAGCTGTCTACCTTAATAACATTAATATGCATAGAGGCAAAATGCAATGATATCACAAGAAATTCATATTATCCTTTCATGTTATATGAACTTACTGTGCTGGTATGAAATCATCTAGGTCTTTAGGGATAGCAAGTCAATATTGGACATTTTCAATGATTGCTACTGTATAGGAATTTTCTTGAGATTTTCAGGCAAATTAAATTGTTTCCTTAAAAATACTCAAAAGAAATGGATGGTAAATGATTGAATTTTCCATTGAAATCTAAATAAAATAACATTTAGGGATCAAGGAATTATTCTTTATTAAATTTTTTCTTTTAAAAGACTGAACGTTTAACAACGCTTTATTTATACAGTAGTCTGTGATAATGTGGGCATATAAAATCCAATGGTATGTTTCTGTTAAAAATGCACATATTTAATTCAAGCACACACATGTCCCTGAATGAATTAATAATAATTAATTCCCTACAGTTAAAATTAAGTAATCAAAGTCATTACAGTATGTTTCTGTTAAAAATGCACATATTTAATTCAAGCACACACATGTCAGATATTCAAGAGGGAAAGTGTTGATGCGTGTCAGACAATGGGCCGTGTTTGAGTGCGGTGGAACATTTGAGCGAACGGACGACGTGATACTGATCTGCACTGAAAACATAACCACCTTTCGGCCGATTGGTGAGCGCAGAGAGAAGCTCTGCCCTCTGAACACACTCTGGACAGGAAGTGTCCGATCACCACGGTAACCATGTCACAGCCTCGTATCAGCATCAGACAGAGGATTTCCTGTCTCCGTGTGAGTGGTGAGAGCAGAGTTGTTCTCAGATACCTGTCTGCAACAAGCTGCTAGCGTCTACAGCGAGTCGTCCGTCCTCAGTGACCGCTGCGGTACAGCCTCATCTGAACCTCTCTCAGAGGAAACCAGAATTACCACATGATCAAATGCAAATATGCTTTAAGTACGCTGTTTAAATGTACCTTTTGCTGATTAACTGAAGATGTAGACAAACACAGCTCATATTTTCCACTTTGTCAAGTGCTTAAATCAGTCCAGTAGCTCCTAATATTTAGTCAGTCATGCTTTGCTTGCATCCAATAGTTAATGACTTTAGCCCTACTTATTGCATTCAGTGTTTTCGTGCAGTTGAACAAAAAGCTATTATGAATGCTTGTACAAATCCCAGCTGCCAGTAGATCTAGAAGTTGGCATCAGGACAGTTTTGTGTTTAAAGAAGAAAAAGCGTGATATATATATGACTGCAGTCATAGTCCAGTGCAACTGCTGTTTTGCCTTTTCATTAAGGCCCTTCATAAAGGTACAGATTTATTAAGGAATCTCTGATGAAACGCTGTGATTTTTGGGACATCTACATTATATCAGTAACGTAATTCATAAGGTTATAAATGAATAAATGTAATAAAGCTTTGAATGGTGGTTTAATTGACGCACAGGGAATCATTAAGGCTGTTTTGGTGACATGTTTGGCAAATAAATGACTGGTATTAAATTCACACGTTCTCTATGTGGGACGACTTGATTCCCCTCCAGGTCACGGCTAATTAACACATTAATGAAGGCATGACTCAGAGCACCACGCTCCATTGCAAATGATTGACAGTTTAAGCTTACAGCGTTGTTTGGAACATATTAGTTTGTTGATGAGAATGTTTCTTCTATGGATTAATACTTTCTTAAGTCTTAAAAAAACTGTAAGGCCAATTAAAGGAGTAGTTATGAAAGAGCAGTTAGGAATTTTGCAACACCGTTGCAGTTGTGCATGCAATAAATCATGCTGACATGTGAAACCATGCACCTTTACTTATTTACTAACTCCTTTATTTAAATGTGATACTGCGACAAAGCTGAAATCTGAAAGAGATTTGACATGACTAACTGATTAAATACTGACATTATAAAAACTGATTCGAACAGATAAAAAGTCATAGCAGACAGAAGCATGAAAATTACACTGTGACACAAATAAATACTTATTTTGAACTTCTCTGTCTAGATTCTGCATGCAGAAGTCACTATGAACAATCACTACAATTGATCAGTTCCAAAAAAAATGAACAATTCAAATGATTTAGTAAAAAAATCCAAACTTGTGATTGATCATGTAAGTACATACAGTATAAGCTGCAAACCCTGTAAATGTGCTCATGATCAATTAGGTGTTGCAAAAGAGCCTGACGTACTGAGGATTTTGTTGTTGTTGTTGTTAATCATTAAATGTACTGATTGTGTAGCTTTATTTTCATATACATTAATGATTTTGAACTCAAGGACTGCACGCTTTGCTGAGCATGTGGTAGGTAAACCTACATTTTGTCACATCTTGACACTAGATTCCTATCTTGAAGAAAATAAAAAGGAGGATGATGAACGGCTGAAGGATGTGAGCCTGAGAATTAGAAAAGTAAATCTCTGTGATGAGAAACACCCTTCCCTGCTTTTCTTCTCCTGGACACGAGCCGAGCTGCAGTGCGGAGACAGCGTTAACTTTGAGGAATGTAAAGGCAAATAAACATATGATGCACCGACTGTCCTCCATTCTTCAAGTCGCTTGAAAGTCAAGATGGAAGTCTGATTTGCCTCTATTCTCCCTTGGCTGAGAAGGTAAACGATACAGACAGAGATAGGCGCTCCCTTTTCTTTTTCCATATATCAGCACAAGCCTCCTCCAGAAAGATCGCATCCAGCAAGATTAGAAAGGCTTGAATTTTGTAAACAGCATTAGCAGTGGGCTATGAAATGCCCTGTGCATTACAGCGATCTCAAAGAACCGACAGAAGCACACGTTGGTTGGTTTGCCGTAATAGGAATGGATTTGCCATTAGACATGCTTTACAGATTTCATTTGGAAGAGAAACACCACAGCTTCCATAGCTAAAGTAAAGGGTGAGCTGATTGTTCCAACGTTTCCAACCAAAATCATAATCATAATAATGAGGAATAGTGAAAGAGAGGATGCTGTTTATGCAAAAACTTGTAAATGTGTCATACAAAAACATATTTAATGAACCATTTCTGGACACTTTGCATCAAGTCTTAAGAACG